CTAAGAGGCACACTCCTCACGAGTATCACTTTATGTCCCACAGTCCAGTCCAATCCCTGTCTGAAGAGTTGGCCTCGGAAATTGTTTTAGTTCTCGGCTGACAGAGAATCCAGGGGCCATGCTTTCCAGGGGCAGAAGTGGATTTTAACTGAGCCCCTGACTTCGTCCTATGTGTCCTCGCCTGACTTCTATGGTTTTTGGTCCAGAGCTTTTCCAGTGAAGCTTTTCTGGATGAGGAGCCTCAATTCTCACAGGGGAGACTGGGGGTGGGGGGTGGGGGGAAGCAGAGTTCAGCCAACTACAGGGCTGTAAAACTGGCATGGTGTCAGAGGAGAAAGAAAATCAAGATCAGCAGCATCAGCCCAAGGCTGATGATACCTGAGATGGAGGTCAGACATACCTCCACTCTCCAACCTTTTTACCAATTCTGACATCAGCCGTCCCTCCCACAGCACTCTCTGCTTCTCTGCTGTTTTTAATAATTTGTTGCAATGGCCACACAGAACTCACAGACCATACCCACAATTATGGGGTTTATTAGGGAAGCAACAGGTTACAACTCAGGACCAACTTGGAGGTTTAACAGGAACAACTCAGCATACCGTTCTTCCGATCAGGACAGCTTCTTCTCAGCCATGCCCACAGGCAGGTCTCTCCCTGGCCCTAAGCCCTCAACCCTCAGCCCTTGGCCTGGCCTCTGCCCTGCTCAGGAAAGTATTAGAAGCTCTTTAGATTTGCCAGTAAGTGCCCGGAAGCACCTGACTCCGTCATGAAGCCTCCTGCCTAACAGTGCTCAGCTCTCACTCCATGGGCCAGGAAGCCCACTATAGCCATCACCAGGGACACTCCCCCAAACCCTGGTGTCCAGCGTTTTTCCTGCAGTCATGTGGGCATGGCTGACCACCTGTGTGGCTGACCTCAGTCTCCAGCCCTTCAGGGGTTGAGCTGGTACCATGTGGCCTAGCACCCCCTCCGTTAATCCCACTGTTGGCATAGACGATCTGGCATGGCCTAAGACCCCCACCATGAGCTCCATAGATGGCATAGACTACTGCACACCCCAGGGCCCCATCATGAATCCTACTGTTGGCATAGAACATCTGGGGTGACCGAAGGCCCCCACCATGAATCCCATTGCTGGCAGATACAATCTGGGGTGGCCCAAAGCCCCAGGTAAACAAAGGCACTCCCATCACACAGGACATTCCAAAGGCTCAGAGATCACCTCCCAGGAGCCAGGGACAAGGTCAGACCTTGCTTTGGGCAGGGTTAATTCTTCATTACACACAAGTTTTGAACAATCCCATCTGGCGTTGTTTTTTTTCCTGCCTTCTTCCTTGAGTGTAGCTAATCATGTCTTTCTTTCCTCTCAGCCTGGTGATGTCTGGGAGTGAAAGAAGATGGCAGATGAGGTCACCCTGCCAGTCTATGCGGGGTTTTCTGCCTCCTTCACTTCAATATGAGGATTTTCTGAGTGCAAAATCACTATAGAGCACAGCAGCCACCTTCAAGCCTCTAAACTGAGGTTCAGGATCTGCTGTCCCGAACATCAAACAACCAGAACCTCCAGCTGTCCCGTATGGAGGAAGACCAAGGCTGCAATTACAAAATAGCTTTATTGTTAAATATACAACAAAACAATCATACAAAAGTAGCTACAACAAGTGGATAAAGTGCTCAAGTTTGCTGGACAACTTCATGAATCTCCCCAGGTGAGCAGCACAGGATGGCTTTCTTCCCAGCGACCCCTGGGTTAGCGCTGCTGCCTAGTGTGTGAGGTCACGGTGCACATGGCTCATTGTTGACCAGGAGGGGCCTGTTCTGAAGGTCTCCTCCATGGGGCTCCCCGCCGGCACCCTCGTGGTAGAAGTACCACCGGCTCACGGCCACAGGGTCCTGGGCCTCTTCCCAGACATCCTGGTTAATTAAGGCGGCCTCTTTGCTCGCTTCTGCAGAAAGTTCCAACACCTGGGCGAAGCTCCTGTGAACACAACAGAACCAGTGAGGACTGCCGCCCTCCACTGTCAAGAGCTTAACACCAGAACCTCTCTGCCACAAGAGGGGGTGCCCTGCTCGGGGTGGGGGAGGCAAGCACGCCCACCAAGCCATGGTCTTTTCAATCACCTCACAATTATACAAACGTTAGACAGTAAAAAAGGAAGACTGAAGAAAAACTGATGCTTTCAAACGGTGGTGTTGGCGAAGAAAACCATGGACTGCCAGAAGAACAAACAAATCAGTTTTTGAAGAAATACAACCAGAATGTTCCTTTGAAGTGAGAATGACAAGACTTCAACTCACTTACTTTGGACGCTCATCAGGAAAAACCAATCACTAGAGAAAGACATCATGATTGGTAAAGTAGAGGGTCAACGACAATGAGGGAGACCCTCAATGAGATGGACATGGGGGCTCCAACAGTGGACTCGAACATACTAACGGTCATGAAGATAGAACACGACTGGGCAACGTTCCATTCTGTTGTACCTAAGATGGCCATGAGTTGGAACCGACCTGACAACAACCTATGTGCCCAGTGAGGGGACATCAGTAAGCAAAGCTGTGTCCAAACAGAACCCCAATGTCAAACAGGGGAGCCCCTGAGAACAGGACTAGGCAGTCAGGAAAGCAAAGAATTCATTGGTTCAACAGACATTTAGGGAACACCAAGGCCTACTCAGAGGCCCTGGATGGGGCAAGCAGTTCTTGCAGTCATCTGTGCTAACTGAAAGGTTGGAGGTTTGAGTTCACCCAGAAGAGCCTCGGAAGAAAGGCCTGGCAATCTACTTCTGAAAAATTAGCCACGGAAAACCCTACAGAGCACAATTCTGCTGACACACATGGGGTCACCATGAGTTGGAACTGACAGCAACAACAACAAAAATCCACCACAACCACACCAGCCAGTCCTCCTCTGGTCTCAGGTGTCTGGGAGGACAGTGGCTTGCCTGGGGTCTGTATCCTGAGGGGACTCACCCCGTGCCCCCTGAACTGCCAGAACTTACAGTGCCTTAGGGCCCAGAGCTACGTTCCAACAGCCTAGCTTGGCCAAAACAGGGCTCATTTTCTGAAATACCTTCGGAGCTCCAGGTCCTTCTTTGCAGTCACGTCCTTGAGTTCACTCAGGAAGTCTAGCACCTTCACACTCTCCTCCGAGTGGTTGGCTCCGAGTTCACCCAGCAGATAGTGTGTGGTGGCCAGCTCCTTCTGTAGGTCATCTGGGGGACAAGAGGACCATGAGCAGTGGGCTTTGGGGCACTGGACACAGTGGGCACGCGGGCTAGGGGCTGCCTAGATGGTACATGTTCAACTGGAACGTTCAGATACTGAGGGGAGAAGTTCCTGCGTGGACACCATAGGTGTCCCTCACCTGGGATAAGTATGGTTAAGCTCGTGGGACAGGTATGTCCACTATCCATGCGGTCATCAGTATAGACACAGAGTGCCACTTGGCATACTCAGTGGCAACAGGCAGAAAGCTGAGAAAGGACTAGGGGTGTGACCATGATGCCTCCGCCCGGCCAGGGGGCTCCCAGCCCAACCACACCAACTTGAGAACAAACCCGTTGTTCACACTCCATCCCTGGCATCTCTACATCCTGAGCAGAGGCACCTGCAACTTTGCTGTGCTCCCCACCTGCTCTCATCATAAGCATCTCTCCCCTTCCAGCACCTGGCACGTCGGTGCCAACTATAAATTAGGGTAACATTTTGGGAACCTTGGAGAACCTGGGTGGTGCAAATAGTTAAGTGCTCAGCTGCTAACTGAAAGGCTAGCAGTTCAAACCCACCCAGAGGCACCTTGGAAGAAAGGCTTTGTGATCTGCTTCTGAAAAATCAGCCATTGAAAACTCTATGGAGCACAGTTCTATGCTGACACACTTGTGGTCGTCATGAGTTGGACTTGACTCCGTGGCTACTAGTTTGGTTTTGGAAATCTTACAGGAGCCTTACAAATGTGCAGCCTCTTTTACTCCCAGTTGACTGTTGCATGTTGTCCCTTGTCTTAGTTATCTACTACTCCTATAACAGAAATACCACAAGTGGGTGGCTTTAACAAACAGAAATTTATTTTCTCACAGTTTAGGAGGCTAGAAGTTCAAATTCAGGGCCCCAGCTTTTCTCTTTCCCTCAGCTCTAAAGGAAGGTCCTTATCTCTGCAACTTCTGCTTGCTGGTTCCTTGGAGATCTCCATGTGTCTTGGCATCTATCTTACCCATCTCTCCTCTGCTCGCTTGTTTAATCTCTTTTATATCTCAAAAGATGGACTAAAGATACACCCTACACTAATCCTGCCTCATCAACATAACAAAGACAACCCATTCCCAAATGGGGTTACAACCACAGGCATAGAGGTTAGGATTTACAACACATATTTCGGGAGGACACAATTCAATCCATAACATCCCCCAAAAAAGACATACCCACGTCCTAACTCCCAGCACCCATGAGCGTGAACTTATTTGAAAATAGCATCTGCATAGATGTAAAGGAGTCCTGGTGGCACTACGGTTAAGCACTCTGCCGCTAACTGAAAGGTGGGTGGTTTGAACCCACCTAGCAGGAGAAAAACCTGGCAATCTACTCCCATAAAGATTACAGACTAGAAAACCCTATGGGACAGTTCTACTTTGTCACATGGGGTCACTATGAGTCAAAATCAACTCAACAGCACCTAACAACATGCAGACAGAATTGAGTTAAGGATCTTGGGATGAGATCATCCTGGATTTAGGGTGGGCCCTGAATCGAATGACTAGCGTCCTTACGAGAACAGGAGAGACAGAGACACAGGGGAGACAGCCATGTAAGGAGGGAGGCAGAGACTGGAGTGATGTAGCCACAAGCCCAGGAATGCCTGGAGCCATGAGAACTGGAACAGACAGAAAGGATCCTCCCCTAGAGCCTCCTTAGAGAACACGGCCCTGTCAACATCCTGCTTTTGGATTCCTGACCTTCAGAACTGTGAGAGGATAAATTCCTGCTCCTTTAAGCCACTCAGTTTGTGGTACTTTGTTACAGCAGCCACGGAAGCCACTCATACACCCTCTAATTCCAACTCATGGCAGCTAACGTGAGGAAGTTGTCAGAGATGGAACCCAAGACTTATACAGACATGAGGTTCACTGTGACAGTTATAAATCAGAAAGCCATTCAACAAGGGAAGGGCTAAATTATATACACCTGCAGTACAATTAAGTAATATGGCCCTTCTAGCCATGGTCTTTGTGACTCACACACAATGACTGAGTGGGACTATGCAAATAAGATATATGGAACCTGTGATGGTTGGGGTTATGTGTCAACTTGGGTGGGCCATGATTCTCAGTATCGTATAGTTGTCCTCCATTTTATGTTTTGTAAATCCTAACCTGTACATGTTAATGAGGCAGGACTGGTGTGGGGTGTATCTTGAGTCACAGCCTTGCAAAAGGGCGTTACTCAAGTCCTATCCTTACTCAAATTATGCCATTCCCTAGGGTGTGGCCTGCATCCAAGGTATGTATGTGGATGCTCTAACAAGGCTCTCTGTCTGCATATGGGTCTTGTGTTGGTTTGTGATCACCTAACCTCTGGTTCTTGGGGTATGAGCCAAGAGGACTGCCGTCTGACTTGCTGAATTCGCCAGCCTCCACAGCCATGTGGGCTGCGGCCTATCATCTGACCTGATTTGCCAGCTTCCGCAGCCTTGTGAGCCAATAGCCTGTGGTCTGACCTGCCGGTTTGGGTTCGTTAGCCTCTGCAGCCATGTGTGTCGGAAGAAGCCTATGCCTTAGCCATGGATTTGGGACTTGCCAGCTATCACAACAGCATGAGCCATCTCCTTGATGGTTCGTGAGTTCTGTGAGACGTTGCAGCAAATCACAGAACCCAAAGACGGGAGGGAGAGTACTGAGGGGAGAGGGAGTAGTTGATATTAGAGATGATGGAGTGGTACAGCAGTGTGGAAAAGTTGAACATTTGGAACATCTTTAACCTCCACCTCATAGGAACCAGCTTTGTGCTGATTCTCATAAAAGAAATTGTTCATTTAACACCCACATGATGAGTTATACACTTGGTGGAAACCATTTTTCCAATCTTATGAACCAAATGTGTACCCCAAAATATGTGTTGGAATCCTAATTCCTATACCTGTGGATGTGACCCTGTTTGGAAATAGGATTTTCTTTTGTTATGTTAATGAGGTCATACCAGAGGAGGGTGGGTCCTAAACTTAATCACTTCTGAGTTATAAAAAGACCAGAACAGACACAGACACACACAGGAGAAAGACAGATGCCATGAGAGGATCCTCTACAAGCCAAGGAACCAAGGAACACCCAGGGCTACGAACAAGGAAGGAATCATCACAACCTATGCCCTGATTTGTACTTTTATCCTCCAGAACTGTGAGAAAATAAATTTCTGTTCTTTGCAGCCACTCACTTGTGGTATTTCTGTTAACAGGAGCCCTAGGAATTACCTAGAATAGGCAAGTATAAGGTTACTGGGTAGCACAAATAATTTGCACTCAGCTACCAATCAAAAGGTTGGACATTTAAACCCACCCAGTGGCAATGAGGAAAAAAGGCCTGGCGATCTGCTTCTGTAAAGACTACAGCCAAGAAAACCCTATGGAGCAGTTCTCTGTCACATGGGGTCACTATGAGTCGGAATCAACTCAACAGCAATAGGCTTGGCTTTTTTTTTTTTTGAGATGGGAATCAGATTAGTGGTTACCAGGGCTTAGGGGAGGGGAAAAGAGGAGTTTCTGTTGGGGGGGATGGAAAAATTTGGGAATGGATAGTGGTGATGGCTGCACATGATGAAGGTAATTAACATCACTGAATCGTACATGTGAAAATGTTGCAATGGCAAATGCTTTTGTTACACAGGTAGTCCCTGACTTATGACAGGGTCTGTTCCTACAACTGTGTCATAAGGTGGTTCTGATATAAGTTGACTACCTCATTTTTTTTGAGTTTTCATTATTACTCCTTTCTATTATCAGTATCTTTGTAAACCATAACGTTGACCATGTCCAAGCTAACATCTGAGAATGCTGTTATTAGATACCATCGAGCTGGTTCTGATTCATAGTGACCCCATGTACAACAGAATGAAATACTGCCCGGTTCTGTGCCATTCTCACAATCGTTGCTATGCTTGAACCCATCGTTGCAGCCACTGTGTCAATCCATCTCGTTGATGGTCTCCTCCTTTCCGCTGAGCTCTACTTTACCAAGCATGATGTCCTTTTCCAGGGGACTAGTCCTTCCTGATCACACGTCCAAAGTATGGTAGACGAAGTCTTGTCATCCTCGCATCCAAGGAGCATTCTGGCTGTACTTCTTCTAAGATAGATTTGTTCATTCTTTTGGCAGTCCATGGTATATTCAATATTCTTCACCAACACCAAAATTCAAATGCATCATTTCTTCTTCTTTGGTCTTCCTTATTCATTGTCCAACTTGCATACGCATATGAGGCGACAGAAAATACCACCGTCTGGGTTAGGCACACCTTAGTCCTCAAAGTGGTATTTTTGTTTTTCAACACTTTAAAGAGGTCTTTGGCAGCAGATTTGCCCAATGCAATACGTCATTTGATTTCCTGACTGCTGCTTCCGTGGGCGTTGATTGTGGATCCAAGTAAAAGGAAAGCCTTGAGAACTTCAATATTGTCTCCATTAATCATGAGGATGATAATATTAGCAAATTATGCACTGCGACACTGTATGCAATACGCTTACTAACAATAAGACGTACAAAAAAAACAATACAGTCTTAAGTGTGGTTCATCGTAACTTGAATACATCTTAAGATGAGGACTACTCATATGTATTTTTACCACAATAAAAAAAAAGTACAGGGCTAAGCACCATCTCCTACCCAGGAACCGCTGGCTGCCGCCCTCCAGGTGGATTGCTGTCACAGGCAGCTCGTGCCGCGTGGAGTCAAGGGCTGTTGCAAAGGTCTTGTACTGCTCCTTAAAGCTTCCAGCGACTGCCTCAAAGGGGCTGAGCAGCTCAGCCTGCAGCAGAAGGGAGAGGGACTTATAAGGCAAGGCTCCGTGGATGCCACCATTCTCACACCACGGATGACCACACCCCCATCCTCAGACGCCTGTCGTGCCAAGCTCTCCCTTCCCTCCCTGCCACCTGCCACCTGCCCATGACAGCCCGGCCAGCATTATAGTGGCTGAGGCCTGCTCACCATGAACACTTGGCTGCCTTCTAGCATGTTCTGTGACCAGGCCCCTGCCTGGGATCATGCTGCCCCAGGTGTGTGCCAGGCTGCTCCCTCTGGCCCACACTGCCCCCCATGCCCACACCTTTCCTGCAGGCAAGCTGTCCCGTCACTTGTGGGAATTTGAAATCATGTATTTATTCACTGGAGTCCCTGGGCAGTGCAAATGGTGAACACGCTTAGCTGGTAACAGGAAGGTTGGCAATTAAAACCCACCCAGAGGTGCCTTTGAAAAAAAGGCCTGGCAATCTGCTTCTGAAAAATTAGCCACTAAAACCCCGTGGAGCAGTTCTACTCTGACACACATGAGGCTGCCATGAGTTGGAGTTGACTTGATGGCAACTGGTTTAACTGGTGGGGGATGGTGGGAAAGCCGGAGACAGAGGGGACTGGGAGGCTCCTGCAGTGGTCAGGGAGACCTCAAAGCATATGCTCAGCACTTGACTGTACCACCCAGGGACTCTATATCTATCTATCCATGTATCTGTCATCTGTCTATCACATACCTGTATCTTTACTTATCTGTCATCTATTTATCTCTCACCTATCTATATATGCCTGTCATTTATCCATCATCTATCATCCATCCATCCGTCTATCAATCAATCAATCAATCATTTATCTATCTACCTAATTGTCTGTCTCTCTCTCACTGGCAATGTTTTCTGCAGACCCGCTAAGAAACGTGTAGTATCAAGACCCGGCAGTGTGTGCACAAATGTAGAGGACACCCCACTACAAACGCTGCCCCCATAAAGCAGCCACTCCTTCCCCAGGAGAAAATGCCAGCCAGGTTGCTGCTCTGTAGGCTGCATCCTCACGCACTGCCCTCACCAACCTGCGCATCCAGCGTGCCCACCAGCTCCCTTGTCCTCTGCCCAAGGAGCCATCTGCGCCTCAGCTCCTGCACCTTTTTCTGGAGCTTCTCCTGCTCTCGGCACATGGTCAAAAGATTGTTTTCCGCCTTGTCCTCCAGCCGGGCGAGGCTGTTCTCCATCTGTGAAACGCAAAGCCAACGCTCAAGCTGGGGAGTTGTGGCTGCTAGTGTGCACCACGGTCCCCTCTCTGACCCCTCACACAGGGACGCTGATGTTTTCACCTTGATGGTCAGCAGTGTGAGAAGCAATGTCTGTGACTCCATCATGTCCATCGATTCGGATAAATCCTGAAAAACAGAGAGACTCTCAGTTCTCAGTGAGCTGCTGTGAACCCAGCTCTCTCCTCTTGGGAGGGTCACCCCTAACCTGTATGGACTTTCTCTCCTCAATTCAAAAACTCAGTAATTCACTACTGCCCATGGGCCTACTGCTTCTATGTTCTCACTTCTCTTCTGATGCTGTCAGACGAGGAAGGGGTGACCTGACCTCATCCCTTCACTGGGCAGGTGAAGAGGTGGCAGTGCGCAGGTCAAGGGCAGGGGTGCCTGGGAGGTCAGTGCTGAACCAGACTTTAGCCCTCCCAGTGCCAGATCTGCCTCATCCTGGTGAGACACATCCACCCCTGCCAGGGACAGGGCTGGGCAAGATGCCTCACTTAGGATGACACTGGCCTTTAGAAAGCCCCAATTTCATGCTTTATGTAATTCCCTTTTTGCACATAAAGGACCCTGGGTGGCGGAAATCGTTTGCGCTCACTTCTAATCTAAAGGTTGGCAGTCTGAACCCTCCCAGTGACGCCATGGATGAAAGGCCTGGCAATCTGCATCTGTAAAAATTACAGCCAAGGAAACTCTATGGGGTAGTTCTACTCTGTAACACATAGGGTCACCATTACTCAGAGTTGACTTGACGGCAACAGGTTTGTGTTGTTGTTGTTGTTATGTGCCGTCGAGTTGGTTCCAACTCATAGTGACCCCATGTACAACAGAACGCAACAGTGCCCGGTCCTGTGCCATGGTCACAACTGTTATGCCTGAGCCCACTGTTGCAGCCACTCTGTCAATCCATCTCATTGACCATCCTCTTCTTTTTCAATAACCTTCTACTTCACTTTTGTTTTTTGTTGTTTGCATCTACTCTCGCAGGTGTGCTTGGACAAATTTAAACTCCAAGTACGATCTAGGAATGTTTGTGTTCTTGGCTATTGCCCTAGGCTGTCTTGCTTGCTCTCGTAGACCCAGGGCCTCAGATGGCACCAGGCAAAGGGCAACCAATTAGTAACCTCCCTTTTCTTTTCAGACACTTCTTGTTGTTAGCTACCGTCGATTTGGCCCCCGACTCATGGCAACCCCATGTACAATGGAATAAAACACGCCGTGGTTCTGCACCATCCCCAAGATCAGTTGCGGATTGGAACATTGGGATCCGTAAGATTTTCATGGATGATTTTTTGAATTCAGTGGACAGGCCTTTCTTCCCAGTATTATCTTAGTCTGGAAGCTCAACTGAAACCTGTTCAGCATCATAGCAACACGCAAGCCTCCACTGACAGGTGGTAGCTGCACAAGAGATGCACTGGCCGGTAATCGAACCCAGGTTTCTCACATGGGAGGCGAGAATTCTACCACTAAGTCGCTACTGTCCCCATTTCAGACACTTACTGGGCTCTTCTTCCGCGAGGAAGAAAACGAACTTGAATCATTTTTCTGTGACATCGTTTTTTCTAACTGTGGAGTCTTTTTGATCATACTTTTATCTGTGATAAAGAAAAGTGTTTTAACGGCGAGAACAGCAAACTTTGGAAGCCCACTGTGATTTATTTCAATGCCCAGCTCATAAAAGGAGGGGTAAGGCTAATCACTTACCATTGATAGCAGAAAGATCCAGGTCCGGTGGGGCGGTCCCGTGTCCTTCCAGCATGGTGGACTGTAGGTCACTCTTGCCAACCCCACTCAAATCTGTGGGCCGAGCAAGAATTCCCACACGTCAGCACATTAGGCAATGAGAGACTTTACAGGTAGCCAAGAAACACGCACTTTTTTTTTTTTTGCAAAGTGTATTTTACTGAATACAAATTTTAAGAAAAATTGATAGTACCCTCCATGTGTCAACAACAAAGAATTATTCACATTTCCCTGTGCAAGCCATGTTCTCTTTATACACCCTTATATCCACTGAAAACGATGCTTCCTTTACCGTGATTTTCCTGTTACGTGTCTGTCAGTTTGTCCTACTTTGGGGGCTTGCGTGTTGCTGTGATGCTGGAAGCTATACCACCGATAGTCAACTAGCAGCAGGTTCACCGATGGCAGACAGGTTTCAGCTGAGCTTCCAGACTAAGACAGACTAGGAAGAAGGACCCAGCAGTCTACTTCTGAAAAAATTAGCGAGTGAAAACCTTATGAATAGCAGGGGAAAACTGTCTGATACGGTGCCGGAAGATGAGCGCCCCCCAGGCTGGAAGGCACTCAAAAGATGACTGGGGAAGAGCTGCCTCCTCAAAGTAGAGGAGACTTTAATGACTTGGATGGAGTCAAGCTTTCGGGACCTTCATCTGCTGATGTGGCATGACTCAAGAAACAGCTGCAAACATCCATTAAAAACCAGAACCTGGAATGTACAAAGTATGAACCTAGGAAAATTGGAAATCGTCAAAAATGAAATGGAACATATAAACATCAATATCCTAGGCATTAGTGAGCTGAAATGGACTGGTATTGGCCATTTTGAATCAGACAATCAAATGGTCTCCTATGCTGGGAATGACAACTTGAAGATGAATGGCATTGCATTCATTGTCAAAAAGAACATCTCAAGATCTATCCTGAAGTACAACGCTGTCAGTGATAGGATAATACTCATACACCTACAAGGAAGACCAGTTAATATGACTATTATTCAAATTTATGCACCAATCACTAAGGCCAAAGATGAAGAAATTGATCGAACATGCAATCAGGATGCATTGATAATTACTGGTGATTGGAATGTGAAAGTTGGAAACAAAGAAGGATCAGTAGTTCAGAAATATGGCCTTGGTGATAGAAATGATGTTGGAGATAGCATGATTGAATTTTGCAAGACCAACAACTTCTTCATTGCAAATACCTTTTTTTTATCATAATAAACAGCGACTATACACGTGACCTTGCCAGGTGGAATACACAGGAATCAAATGGACTACTACATCTGTGGAAAGACAATGGAAAAGCTCAAAATCATCAGTCAGAACAAGGCCAGGGGCCGACTGTGGAACAGACCATCAATTGCTCATATGCAAGTTCAAGATGAAGCTGAAGAAAATTAGAACAAGTTGAGGAGAGCCAAAGTACGACCTTGAGTATATTCCACCTGAATTTACAGACCATCTCAAGAATAGATTTGACTTGTTGAACACTAATGACTGAAGACCAGACGAGTTGTGGAATAACATCAAGGACATCATACATGAAGAAAGCAAAAGGTCATTAAAAAGATAGGAAAGAAAGAAAAGATCAAAATGGATGTCAGAAGAGACTCTGAAACTTGCTCTTGAACATCAAGTAGCTAAAGCAAAAGGAAGAAATGATAAAGTAAAAGAACTGAAGAGAAGATTTCAAAGGGTGGCTTGAGAAGATAAAGTATTATGATAGCATATGCAAAGAGCTGGAGATAGAAAACCAAAAGGGAAGAACACACTAGGCATTTCTCAAGCTGAAAGAACTGAAGAAAAATTCAAGCCTCGAGTTGCAATAGTGAAGGATTCTATGGGGAAAATATTAAATGATGCAGAAAGCATCAAAAGATGGAAGGAATACACACAGTCATTATACCAAAAAGAACTGGTTGACATTCAGCCATTTCAAGAAGTAGCATATGATCAGGAACCAATGGTACTGAAGGAAGAAGTCTAAGCTGCACTGAAGGCATTGGTGAAAAACAAGCCTCCAGGAACTGACAGAACATCAACTGAAATGTTTCAACAAACGGACGAAGTGCTGGAAGTGCTCACTTGTCTATGCCAAGAAATTTGGAAAACAACTACCTAGCCAACTGACTGGAAGAGATCCATATTTATGCCTATTCCCAAGAAAGGTGATCCAGTTGAATGCAGAAATTATCAAACAATATCATTAATATCAAACGCAAGTAAAATTTTGCTGAAGATCATTCAAAAGCAGCTGCAGCAGTATATCAACAAGGAACTGCCAGAAATTCAGGCCAGATTCAGAAGAGGACGTGGAACCAGGGATATCATTGCTGATGTCAGATGGATCCTGGCTGAAAGCAGAGAATACCAGAAAGATGTTCTCCTGTGTTTTACTGACTATGCAAAGGCATTCAACTGTGGATCATAACAAATTATGGATAACACTGCAAAGACTAGGAATTCCAGAACATTTAATTGTGCTCATGAGGAACCTGTACATAGATCAAGAGGCGGCAGTTCAAACAGAACAAGGGGATACTGTGTGGTTTAAAGTCAAGAAAGGTGTATGTCAAAGTTGTGTCCTTCAACATACCTACTCAATCTGTATGCTGAGCAGATAATCAGAGAAATTGGACTTATATGAAGAAGACCAGGGCATCAGGATTGGTGGAAGACACATTAACAACCTGTGATATGCAGATGACACAACCTTGCTTGCTGAAAGTGAAGAGGACTTGAAGTACTTACTGATGACGATAAAAGACCACAGTCTTCAGTATGGATTACACTTCAACATAAAGAAGATAAAAATCCTCACAACTGGACCAATAAGCAACATCATGATGAACAGTGACAAGACTGAAGTTGTCAAGGATTTCATTTTACTTGGATCCACAATCAACACCCATGGAAGTAGCAGTCAAGAAATCAAAAGATGCGTTGCATTGGGCAAATCTGCTGCAAAAGATCTCTTTAAAGTGCTGAAAAATAAAGATGTCACCTTGAAGACTAAGGTGCACCTGACCCAAGCCAGAGTATTTTCAATTGCATCATATGCATATGAAAGCTGGACAACAAATAAGGAAGACTGAAGAAGAACTGATGCCTTTAAACTGTGGTGTTGGCGAAAAATACTGACTATACATACCATGGACTGCCAAAAGAATGAACAAATCTACCCTGGAAGAAGTACAACCAGAATGCTCCTTAGAAGTAAGGATGGCCAAGATTATGTCTTACATACTTTGGACATGTTATCAGAAGGGATCAGTCCCTGGAGAAGGACATCATGCTTGGTAAAGTACAGGGTCAGCGAAAAAGAGGCAGAGACCCTCAACAAGATGCACTAACACAGTGGCTGCACCAACGGGCTCAAGCCTAACAACGATTGTGAGCATGGTGCAGCACCGGGCAGTGTTTCGTTCTGTAGTACATAGGGTCACTATGAGTCGGAATCAACTCGACGGCACCTAACAACAACGCCTGAGAAACTCCTAACAATTTTCGAAGAAACACATATTTTTTACACTATACTACTTCCTTCCAAGAATTCAATCCCCCACACTTAGCAATGTATCTACCAGTTTGTTGTACTGTGGTGGCTTGTGTGTTGCTGTGATACTGAAAGCTTTGCCACTGGTATTTCAAATCCCAGCAGGGTCACCCTTGGTGGAGAGGTTTCAGCTGAGCTTCCAGACTCACATAGACTAGGAAGAATATACCATGGACTGCCAGAAGAACAAACAAATCTGTCTTGGAAAAAGTACATCCAGAATGCTCCTTAGAAGCAAGGATGGTGAGACTCTGTCTTACGTACTCTGGACATGTTATCAGGAGGGATCAGTCCCTGGAAAAGGACATCATGCTTGGTAAAGTAGAGGGTCAGCAAAAAAGAGGAAGACCCTCAATGAGATGGACTGACACAGTGGCTACAACAATGGGCTCAAACATAGCAAGGACTGTGAGGATGGCGGAGGTCCGGGCGCTGTTTCGTTCTGTTGCACTAGGGGTCACTGTGAGTCAGAACCAACTCGATGGCACCTAACAACAACCAAGAACTAAACTTTTTGCTAGTGGTATGGTCTGAATTATGTCTCCAAACAAGATTAACTCCTGTACGCGTGAATGTGACCTTATTTGGAGAAATAGGTTTTTTTTTTTTTTAATCAGAGTACTGTAGGTCCTAATCTAATCCCTTCTGAGGCACGTTAGAAAATAGAAGGACACACACACAGTGGGAAGACAGCATGTGAGGCTCTGTCTACAAGCCAAGGTACACCTGGACTACCAAACTGAAAAACGCAGGGAAGAATCTTCCCCTAGAGTCGACAGGCAGAGAGCATGGCCCTGCCAATGCCCTGCATTCAAGCTTCTGGCCTCCAGAACTGTGAGAAAATAAATTTCTGTTCTCTGAAGCCACCCCCCACGTGGTATTTTGTTATGGGAGCCCCAGGAGACTAAGACAGGTATGGTACCATTTGTTATAATTTTCTGAAAAATCTGGAAAGATAAACAGTAAGCTGTTGAGAGTAGCTGCCTCCAGGGTAGCACACAGGGAACCTCAGGTGGACAGGTGGTGAGTTTCTATTGTTACTTCTTTTGCAATAGTGAAATGTTCTGTCGCCTGAGTGTACTGCATTCCCATTAAAGAAATAAATTTTATATCCAGCCGCACAATGGGACTCCAACAAGCAGTCTTTCTAAATGATCGTGCTTACGTTAAAGTGTGGTTTCTCAACCATGGCATTACTGACATTTGGGTTAGGATTGTTGCCTTATCAGACTCTCCCCCGAAAGGAAAGGGAATGTCAGCCTGGTGTAGTCGAAAACAAAACTGACCTCCACGTTCATCACCATCTTACAACCATAACCTGTTTCGCATCCTCCCTTAATCATTACACACCTGAAGTGCCTCTGCTTTTCTGGAGCAGGTTGGGCTTCTTTCCAACTTCTGGCATTTTCCCACTGGCTTTTAATGCATCTGCTGCAGGAACCTGTTATGGGAACATGTGAGAATCAGGGAACAAGACACCATCCCTTTGTCATAGGGCCCTGATGTTATCTGTGCAGTTTGTAGTCTGCTGTTACTTTGAGGGAAAAAAAAAAAACCCAAACCAAACCCATTGCTATCAAGTTAATTCTGACTCCTGGTGACCCTGTGTGTTACAGAGTAGAAGTGCTTCATAGGATTTCCTTGGCTGTAAACTTTATGGGAGCAGTTGCCAGCCTTTCTCCTCTGGCACCAGTGGGTGGGATTGAACTGCCAACCTTTTTTTTTTTTTAATTGTACTCTAAGTGAAAGTTTACAATTCAAGTTAGTCTCTCATACAAAGATTTATACATAGTTATGTGACCCTAATTGCTCTCCCTATACTGTGACAGCACACTCCTCCTTTCCACCCCAGATTTCCCGAGTCCATTCAACCAGCTCCTGACCCTCTCTGCCTTCCCATCTCACTTCCAGACAAGAGCTGCTCATTTAGTCTCATGTATCTACTTGAGCTAAGAAGCACACTCTACACAAGTATCGTTTTATGTCCCATCGTCCAGTCTAATCTTTGTCTGAAGAGTTGGCCTTGGGAATGGTTTTAGTTCTGGGTTGACAGAGAGTCCAGGGGCCATGCTTTCTGGGGATCCTCCAGTCTCAGGCAGGCCATTAAATCTGGTCTTTTTCTTAGAATTTGAGTTCTGCACCCCACTTTTCTCATGCTACATCAGGGACTCTCTGTTGTGTTCCCTGTCAAGGCAGTCATTGGTGGTAGCCGGGCACCATTTAGTTCTTCTGGTCTCAGGCTGATGAAGTGTCTGGTTTATGTGGCCCTTTCTGTCTCTTGGGCTAATACTTTCCTTGTGACTTTGGTGTTCTTCGTTCTCCCTTACTGCAGGTAACCTGGAACCAATTGATGCATCTTAGATGGCCGTTTGCTAGCTTTTAAGACCCCAGACGCCACTCACCAAAATAGGATGCAGAACATTTTCTTAATAAACTTTGTTATGCCAGTTGACCTAGATGTCCCCTGAAAGCATGGTCCCCAGACCCCCGCCCCTGCTACTCCGTCCCTCGAAGTATTTGGTTGTATTCAGGATACTTCTTAGCTTTGTGGTTTAGTTCAGTTGTGCTGACTTCCCCTGTAGTGTGTTGTCCTTCCCTTCACCTAAGATAATTCTTGTCTACTATCCAGTTAGAGAATAACCCTCTCCCTCCCTCCCCACCCTTGTAACCATCAAAGAGTGTTTTCTTCTGTGTTTAAACCTTTTCTTGAGTTCTTGTAGTAGTGGTCTTATACAGTATTTGTCCTTTTGTGACTGACTAAAAATTCACTCAGTATAATGCCTTCCAGATTCCTCCATGTTATAAGATGTTTCACTGATTCATCGTTGAACCACCAACCTTTAGGTCAGCAGTCAAGGGCAAACTATTTGTGCCACCCAGGCACCACTTTGAGGCAAGGGCCAGATTTAAGGAGTTCTGCGATTTAATCTCATATAGGCAGAATGAAGCTAATTTTGTTAAAAAGGATACACACACGTGCACAGAGTGTAGGAAACACGCCAAACATTTTCCCAGTGATGACCTCTGAGATGGTAGATTATAGGCGATGGATTTTATGTACGCATTTTAGTATTTGCCAGCTTACTAAAGAGAACATATAACTTTGTCAGAAAAAACAAAGTTTTTATATAGGGATCAATCTTCAGAACTTACAAAAGGTAAGCGACCTGTAGACCTAGCACTGCTGTTATAAATAGAACAACTAAAAAAAAAGAAAACCTTGTAAAGAACTAAAATACCAGAATGTACAGATACCAGTTCTACTCAACATTGTACTGTAGATCCTAGAATAAGAAATAAAAGGCATGCAGGTTAGAGAAGAAGAAATAAAACTGTCTCTACTTACAGACATGATTCTCTACATAGAAAATCCCAAAACATCTTTAAAAACACAGCTGTAACTGAGTTTAGCAAGAATAAAGCAAAAACAAAACTAAACCTGCTGCCATCAAGTTGATTCCAACTCACAGTGACTCTATAGAACAGAGTAGAACTGTCCCATAGGATTTCCAAGGCTGTATCTATATAGTAGCAAACTATCATATCTTTCTCCCACAGAGTGGCTGGTGGGTTTAAGCCACCAACCTTTCGGTTAGCAGCCAAGTGCTTAAGCACTGTGCCACTAGGGCTCCTTTAGCAAGAATACGAGGTCAATATTAGAACGTAACACTTCATTGTGCACATGTGGAACCTGTACATAGACCAAGAGGTCGTCGTTCAAACAGAACACGTGGATACTGCATGGTTTAAAATCAGGAAAGGTGTGTGTCAGGGTTGTATCATTTCACCATACTTACTCAATCTGTGTGCTGAGCAAATAATCAGAGAAACTGGACTATATGAAGAACAACGCGGCATGAAGATTGGAGGAAGAACAACCTGCGATATGTAGATGACACGACCTTGCTTACTGAAAGCGAACAGGACTTGAAGCACTTACTGATGAAGCTCAAAGACCACAGCCTTCAGTATGGATTACACCTCAACATAAAGGAAACAAAAATCCTCACAACTACACCAACAAGCAACATCATGATAAACAGAGAAAAGACTGAAGTTGTCAAGGATTTCATTTTACTTGGATCCATAATCAACACCCATGGAAGCAGTAAGGGGTGTAAGGATAGACATATAAAATGGAAAGAAATGGATGCATATAGATATAATCAACTGATTTTCAAAGAAGGTGCAAACACAATACAATGAGGAAAACAAAGTCAATTCAACAAATGGTGTTGGAACAATTAAAAGTCCATATGAACTTCAATTCCTACCTCACACAAGACATAAAAATTAACTTAAAATGGATCACCAACCTAAATGTAAAACAAAAAACTATAATAACCTCCTAGGAGAGAATCTTTGTGATTTTGGGCTAGGCAAAGATTTCTTGGATAAAACACAAAAGCACAATTTATAAAAGAACAAATGGATAAACTGCACTTTATCAAAATCAAGACATTCTGCTCTTCAAAAGATACATAAGAGGATGGAAAGATAGGCCACAGACTAGGAGTAAATATTTGCAGATCAACATAAAGCCTGGTATAAAAAATACAGAAAGACTTCTCAAAATTCAGTAATAAGAAAACAAATAATCCAGTGGGGGGAAAAATATGGGCCAAAGACTTCAACAGAGACATCCAAAGACACAGGAAAATTAAAACCACACTGAGATAGCACTTTACCCTAGTACAATAGGTAAAAATTTTAAATGCCAACTGGAACTTTCATATACCGCTGGCGGGAACGTAAATTGATGTAGCCACTTCGGATAACAGTTTGGCAGTTTCTTATAAAGTTAAACGTACACCTACCATATGACCTAGCAATCTGACTCCTGGGTATTTATTTACACAAGACAAAAGAAAACACATGTCCACACAACAACCTGGACATAAATGTTTATGGTAGCTTTGTTCATAATTGCCAAAGACAGGAAACAAACCAAATGTGCTTCCACCACTGAATGTATGAACAAAATGTGCTCCATCCATATCGAACATTACTCAGTAAGAAAAAGGGATGAGCCAGTGACACGCAACAACATGGATGAACCTCAAATGTACTATGTAGTAAAAAACCACCACCTGTCCAACAGTTTGCAGTACTATGGCGGTTTGCATGTTGCTGTGATGCTGGAAGCTATGCCACCTGTCTTAGGTTGGGTTCTCTACAGGAGCAAAACCAGTGAAGCATACATACATACAAATAAACGTATACAGATACGTTTATTTCAAAGTCACATAGGCAATTGTGAAGGCTGGCAAGTCCCAAATCCATGGGTTAGATGTCAGGCTGGAGGCTTTTCCTGACTCATGTGGTTGCAAGGGCTGGTGAACCCAAGGCTGCAGGCTCACATCCCAAGAACCAGAAGTCAGATGATGACAAGTCGGATGCAGGATCCAAAGCGAGCGAGTTTTGCCAGAACGTCCATATATACTGGATGCAGGCCACACCCCCAAGGAAACTCCCCTTAACTGAGATCACAAAATGGAGGATAATTACAGATTACTGAGAATCATGGCCTAGCCAAGTTGACACATAACATTAACCATCACACCACCAGTATTTCAAATACCAACAGGGTCACCCATAGTGGGCAGGTTTCCGTGGAGAGTCCAGACTAAGACAGACTAGGAAGAAAGGCCTGGCAATGTGCTTCTGAAAATTGGCCAGTGAAAACCCTATGGATTGCAACAGAGCACTGTCTGACTGGCTTGCTTTGGACACATCGTCAGGAGGGATCAATTGCTGCAGGAGGACATCATGCTTGGTGAAGCAGAGGGCTAAGCAGGGTGAGGGGAACCAGTGAGATGGACTGGCACAATAGCTGCAATGATGGACTTACACATGCCAGCGATGATAAGGATGACACAGGATCAGGCAATGTTTCATTTTCTTGTACATAACGTTGCCACGAGTCAGGCGACCCAACAGCAGCTAACAACAAATCAAAAAAGTCAGATGCAGGAAATTACATACTGTGTAATTTGACTTAACCTTCTGGAAAAGGCAAAACTGTTGTCGTTAGGTTCTGTCAAGTCGGTTCCAACTCATAGCAATCCTATGTACAACAGAACAAAACACTGCCCAGTCCTGTGCCATCCTTACAATCATTATGCTTGAGCCCATTGTTGCAGCCACTGTGTCAATCCATCTTGTTGAGGGCCTTCCTCTTTTTCTCTGACCCTCTACCTTACCAAGCATGATGTTCTTCTCCAGGGACTGGAACCTCCTGATAACACGTCAGAAGTATGAGACGGAATCTTGCCATCCTTGCTTCTAAGAAGCATTCTGGCTGTACTTCTTCCAAGACTGATTTGTTTGTTCTTCTGCCAGTTTATAGTATCTTCAATATTCTTTGCCAATACCATAATTCAAAGGAATGAATTCTTCTTCGGTCTTCCTTATTCACTGTTCAACTTTCACATGCATATGAGGCAACTGACAATACCATGGCTTGGGTCAGGCGCACCTTAGTCCTCAAAGTGACATCTTTGCTTTTTTACACTTTAAAGAGGCCTTTTGTAGATTTTCCCAACACAGTGCATCTTTTGATTTCTTGACTGCTGCTTCCATGGGTGTTGATTATGGATCCAAGTAAAAAGACATCCGTGACAACTTCAATCTTTTCTGTTTATCATGATGTTGCTTATTGGTCCAGTTGTGAGGATTTTTGTTTTATGTTGAGGTGCAATCCATACTGAAGGCTAAAGTCTTTGATCTTCATCAGTAAGTACTTCAAGTCCTGTTTGCTCTCAGCAAGCAAGGTTGTGTCATCTGCATAGTACAGATTGTTAATGAGTCTTCCTCCAACTCTGATGCCATCTTCTTCTTCATATAGTCCAGCTTCTCAGATTACTTGCTCTGCATACAGACTGAATAAGTATGGTGAAAGGATACAACCCTGACACACACCTTTCCTGATTTTAAACCATGCAGTATTTTTTTTTTCTGTTCAAACAACTATCTCTCAGTCTATGTACAGGTTCCTCATGACCACAATTAATGTGCTGGAATTCCCATTCTTTGCAATGTTATCCATAGTTTGTTAAGATCCACACAGTCGAATGTCTTTGTATAGTCAATAAAACACAAGTAAACCTCTTTGTAGTATTCTCTGCTTTCAGCCAAGATCCATCTGACATCAGCAATATCTCTGGTTCCACGTCCTCTTCTGAATCCAGCTTGAATTTCTGGCAGTTCCTGTCGATGTACTGCTGAAATGGCTTTTGAATGATCTTCAGCAAAATTTTACTTGTGTGTGATGTTAACAATATTGTTCAATAATTTCCACATTCTATATCCTGTCAACGGCAGAAAACTTGTGAGACCCAGAAAGCAGTTTTCTACTATGTATGTCACACACACAGTGTGACAGGGTTCAGTCTTAACCACTTTTCTATTGCTCTCTACTAGTGGAAAATATTTAAATTTTTCTTCTTTGATAGGTTTCCACCTTACACAGTTTCCGATTTTAGCAGGTTTTACTGTATATTGCAAAAAAAGAGAAAGCTTTTAAAAATCTAAAATATTACAATGTGCAGCCACAAGGGGGCACTGTTGCCAAGACTTCACAGCTGTGTTACAACTATGGAGTGTGCACTGCGATCCTTGATTGAAGATCAGCCCAAGAAGTGAATCCAACAGTTGGTGCAAAGGAGTCCTTTTCCTCAAGCTGAAATCTCGAGTCGCACTCTCAAGAACCCGCAGCCCACCATAACTTGGAAGATGAGGAAAGATTAGTAGCAGAAATGAATACTTCATTAAGTTTCATTAACCATAAACAAAGATTTGGGAAACTGAGGGGGAAAATCTGAGTTTTGTCTTCCCCTATTCTCAGGATATAAACATAGAAACAAAACACACCACTGGGTAATTTATCAATTGCTTCCGTTAATTATCACATGAAGCATTTTCTCATGTCATTAAGGATCTTTCAAGTTTTTTTTTTTAAATGTGCCATTTTGGGTTTTGACAAATGCATACACTTGTGCAAACCACACTGTCATCAAGATATAGAATATTACAACAAAAAAAACCCAGTTACTACCAGGTCAATTCCAGCTCATGATGACACCATGTGTTACAGAGTACAATTGCTCCATACGGTTTTTTGGCTGTCACCTTTACAGAGGCAGATTGCCAGGCTTTTCTTCCACAGTGCCACTGGGTAGGTTTGAAACACCAACCTTTAGGTTAGCAGTTGAGCGCAAACCCTTTGCGCCACCCAGGGACCTTACTTAAAAGTTTACCATCACTCCAGAAAGCTCCCTCATGCCTCTTCCCAGTCAATCCCCAGCACCCCCCTTGAAAGGCAAAAACTACTCTGATTTCCTTTTCACCAGTTTGGTTTCCTTTTCTGGAACTTCACATGAAAGAAACCCTACACTATGTACTCTCATCTAAGGCTTTCTGACTTAGGAGCATATTTTTGAGATTCATCCATGTAGTTTGCATTTATCTGTTGTTGTTATTTGATGCTGTCAAGTCAGCTCCAACTTTACCTACAACAGAAGGAAACATCACCCACCCCTGCACCATCTTCATGATCGTTGGTATGTTTGAGTCCATTGTTGCGGCTACTGTGTCAATCCATCTCATGCAGGGTTTCCCTTGTTTTTGCTGACCGTCTACTTTACCAACCATGATGTCCTTTATTAGCGATTGGTCTTTTTTGATGACATGTCCAAAGTCTCACCATCCTCACTTTTATAGTTTGTTTTATTACTAAAGAATATTCTACCATATGAGTATACTACTATTTGTTTATTCACTTTACTGGTGATGGACACATATGCTGTGTTCAGTTTTAGGCTATTATGGATGAAGCAGATACAGACATTCTTGAACAAGTCTTATTTGTGGACATGTGTGGAACGTCTGGGTTGTAGGGTAAATGAATGTTTAGTTAGAAACTGCCAGGCTATTTTCCAAAGTGGTTCTTAGCATTTTACATTCCCGAATACGTGACCAAGGTACACCTGACCTAGCCATGGTCTTTTCAATCACCTCATACGCATGGAAAGTTAGACAACGAGAGAGGAAGACAAGAGAAGAATGATGCACTCAAACTGCTAGTTGCCATTGCATTGGTGAAAAATATTGACTATACTGTGGGCTGCCAAACCCATTGCTGTTGAGTCGATTCTGACCCATAGCAACCCTACAGGACAGAGTAGAACTGCCTCATAGGGTTTCCAAGGAGTGGCCGGTGGATTCAAACTGCCAACCTTTCAGTCAGCAGCAGAACACTTAACCACTATGCCACCAGAGTTTCTGTGGACTGCCAAAAGAACAAATTAATCAGTCTCAGAATCAGAATGTTCCTTAGAAGCAAGGGTGGCGAGACTTCGACTCACTTTAGACACATCACCAGGAAAGACCAATTGCTAGAAAAGAACGTCATATTCAGCAAAGTGGGGGGCCAATGAAAATGAGGGAAACCCTCCATAAGATGGATTGACACAACAGCCGCAACAATGGACTCAAACATCTCAACGATCATGAAGACAGTGCAGGAACAGGCACTGTTTCATTCTGTTGTACATAAGGTCGCCATGAGTCAGAGCCAACTCAATGGCAACCAACAACATTCCTAGAACAATGTATGAGAATCCTGTTGTTGTTTTTAATGGTTGCATAATATTTCACAGGGTGGCCACACTTCAGTTTACTTAACTATTCCTCTAATATGGGCTAGTTGACCATATTTTTTCCATAGCCTTCCGTTAAAAACCTGCAGGCATTTTTAAAATACCAACTCACGCCAAGGACAATGTGCTGGTAACCTAGCAGAATTTCTTTTGAACAGAATCCAGAAACTGAATTACTGGGGTAAAAACCAGGATCAATTTTATGTTTCAGTAGGGATCACGGCTTTGCAAAATGAATTCGTACAGCTGTCAGTCACTCACAACTCAGTATTAAGGGCTGATGACCTGAAAGGTAACTGGACAAAGATTTCATGATGCTTCTGTCCAGCCCACACTGGGACCAACCCAGTGGACTTTTCTCAGATCCACTTTGAGAATGATTTTCAACATAAATTGAGGGTTACCTTTTTGGTTGTTTTCTTCTCATACTGCAAATATCTGGGTTCAACCATTCTTCCACCTGTGGGGAGACACACAATCCATTTATAACATGAACTATTAAAAAAAAGACCATGAAGACCCAACGGGCCCAGGATCCCCACCTGCTGGGAACCCGCGCAAACAACAGGAACAGAAGGAACTGCTCCTCCATGACACTATCAAATGTGTCCTTTAGCAGCGTCAAGCATTTATGGGACACCTACTGTATGTAAGAACACAAATGGAACACCAGGTATACACAAAGGAGTCCCTGGGTGGCACAAATAGTTAAGCACTCAGCTACTAACCAAAAGGTCAGTAGTTCGAACCTATCCAGGAGCGCCTCAGGAGACAGGCCTGGCGATCTGCTTCCGAAAGGTAACAGCCTTGAAACCCTACAGAGTACAGTTCTACTCTGCACACAATGGGTGGCCATGAGTTGGAATTGATTCGACAGCAATGGGTTTGGGTTTTGTGTGTGTGTGTGTGTGTGTGTGTGTATACATATATATATATATATATATATACATATATATATATACACATAAAGAACTTTTATGGAACACCTAGTACATGCAAGACCCTGAGCTAGGGGTGGAATAAGAGTTCAAGAGGGAGCTCTGATCAAAGAATATTTGCTGGAGGTCAGATGAGAAAGTGGACTTGGGGTAGGAGGGGCGGACAGGAAACGTCAACTCCCCTCAGTGCCTTCGTTTGCTGCTCCTCCCTCCCTAGCTCACTCCCTGTGGTGCCAAGACTCCAGGAGCCCCTTGGCCACTCGCCTGACACCTTTCACTTTCCCTCGCCCAGCCTTGCCCACTTCCCTCCTACACCTGCCACCCTCTGACTCCACACAGAGTTGCTCTATCCTTCTCACCCTTCCCACCAGCGAGTCCACTCAGCTTCACCTGTATGTCTACCTGGAACACCCACCTGGCAGCACTTAAGGAAAGAAAAGCTACCTTTACAAAACAACTGGATTGTGAGGCAGATCCTGGCTTTGCTCACCTTGTACTCTTTTTCCTTTTGGTTTGGCGCCACTGGGGGTATTGGAACCTGCTGCTGACGGCTTCCTAGAAGAGAGGAAGGTCCTTGCATCTCATTATGGATTGAATTGCATGTCCCCAAACAGATATGTTGAAGTCCAAACCCCTATACATGTAAATATGACCCTATTTGGAAATACGGGTTTTCTTCTGTTACATTATTGAGGTCATACCAAAGTAGGGTAGGTCCTAAACCTAATCACTTCTGAGTGGTGTCTTAGAAGAACAGAATAGACACAGAGACACAGACACAGAAAAGGCCATGTGCAGACAGAAGCAGATGCATGTACAAGCCCAGGAACTCCACCAATTGCCAGTAGCTACTAGAAGCTAAAACAGACAAGGAAGACCTCCTCCTAGAGCCATGCCCTGAATTTGGACTTCTAGCCTTCAGGACTGTGAGGAAATGAACGCTGTTCTTTAAAAGCAACACACGTGTGGTGTTTGTCACAGCAGCCCTAAGAGACTAAGGCACATCTTGTTGGAGCCATGAGGAAGCAAGTGAGGTACCTTTGCTAGCCCAAAGCTTGGGCTTCTCAGGGAGCCCAGGCCCAGTACCCCCAACCCCCGCTTATGCTGATCTCTGCAGGTCAGGGCCACACCGACAGGAACAGCCCCACTAGGGGGCCCCCAGCCTGGTCACATGGGGCAACATGAATGTCACAAGTTAAACTGTGCCCCCCAAAAAGATATGTCCGCATTTTAACTCCTGGTACCTGTGAACATAACCCTGTTTGGAAACAGTCTAGATGTTATCAGTTAACATGAGGTCACACTGGAGTAACCAAACCAAACCTATTATTGTTGAGTCAATTCTGACTCATGACGACCCCATATATTACAGAGTAGAACTGCTCCATGGGGTTTTCTAGGCTGTAATCTTCATGGAAACAGATTGCCAGGTCTTTCTACCATGGCACTGGTGGGAGGGTTCAAACTGCCAACATTTAGGTGAGTACTTGAGCCCAAACCATTTGAGCAAACCAGGGACTGAGTCTTAATCCAATGTGAGTGGTGTCCTTATAAGAGAGGAAGAGAGGCACAGACACAGAAGAGAAGGCCATGTGATGACAGAGGCAGAGACTGCAGTGATGCAGCACAAGCCCAGGACACCTGGAGCCACCAGAAGCTGGAAAAGGCAAGGGAGCACAGCCCTGTAGACACCTTGATTTCAGACGTATGGACTCCAGAACGGTGAGAGAATTCCTATTGTTATAAGCCACCCAGTGTGTGGTATTTTGTTACAGCAGCCCCAGGACACTGATCTACAGGCATGGCTGAACATCTGAGCTTGAAAAGGGACCAGAAGGAGAAAAGCTCTGTAAAGTGAGAGTATTACTGCCGAGCGTCAAAGAAGACCTCAACTTCATCATGAGTGCACTGACATCAAAGTTTATGGGCCTACTGGATGCCACTGGGGATACAGCAACAAGCAAAAGACAGCTCCTTCTGAGAAAGGGAAGACCAGCATTTTCTTCCTTGGACACATGTGAAGATGAGGGCTCCAGACCCGGAAAGGGGTGGGAGGTGTAGGATAAAGTTATCTCAGACACACAGTGACGGGAAGGGGCACTCTGGGAGGAGAGTTCAGCAAGGGCACAGGCGCAGGGGCAGGAGAAAATGATGCAGAAATAGAAATTAATCAGCCCTTTAAAGTGGTCACTCGTGGCTCAGTGGTAGAGTTCTCGCCTCTATGTGGGAGATCCGGGTTCAATTCTTTCCCAACGCACCTCATGTGCAGCCACCACACATCTGTCAGTGGAGGCTTGCATGCTGCTGTGATGCTGGACAGTTTTCAGTGGAGCTTCCAGACTAAGATGGACTAGGAAGAAAGGCCTGGCAATCTACTTCCAAAAATCAGCACATGAAAACCCTATGGATCACACTGGTCCGATCCACAACTGATCACAGGGATGGCACAGGACCGAGCGGCATTTCAGTCTGGTGTGCATGGTGACACCATGAGTCGGTGTCAACTTGATGGTAGCTAACAACAAAAATGGTTTGGATGAAGAAGGTGGACAGGGGTACAGGGTAAGGGAGGAAGAGGGAAGCTGGACTAGGCCAAAATAGTTCTGAAGAGCTTAAGGGCTCGGACCTGTTTCTATAGCCCAGGGGTCAGCAACCTTTTTCTGTAAGGGGCCAGAGAGTAAATATTGTCTGCTTTGCAGACCACACAGTCTCTGTCATGACTAGTCAACTCTGCCATTATAGCACAAAAGCAGTCAGATGGTACAGAAAGAAATGGGTGTGGCTGTGTGTCAATAAAACTTTATTCACAGACACTGACATCTGAAATTTCATACAAGTTTTATATGTCATGAAATACTATTCTTTTGATTTTTTTACAGCCACATAAAAATGCAAACACTGTTCTTAGCTTGGTGGTCATACAGGAGACCAGCTGGCTTGGCCTGCACATCTTGCTACAGGCAACGAGGGACAAGGAAGGGCTTGAAGCAGGAGATGGACAAGGTGAACCATGTTTCATGAAGACCAGTGGCAGCCAGCAGGAAGATGGGCTCTAAAGTTCTGGAAAGGTGGGGACCTTTTTGTCTGTTCTGCTCACCACTCCATTCCCACCACCTGGCACAGAGTAAAAAACCAGTTGCTGTCAAGTCAATTCCGACTCCTGGTGATGCCATGTGTGTCAGAGTAGAACTATGCTACACAGGGTTTTCAGTGTCTGATTTTTTGGAAGTAAATGGCCAGGCCTTTCTTCTGAGGTGCCTCAGGGGGACTCAAACCTCCAACCTCTCAGTTAGCAGCCAAGCATGTTAATCATCTGCACTATCCAGGGGTTCTTCAACCAGTTGCCATTGAGTCAACTCTGACTCATGCTGACTCCACGTGTGTCAGAGTAGAACTGGGCTCCACAGGGATTTTCAATAGCTGACTTTTTCAGAAGTAGATCGCCAGACCTTTTTTCTCAAAGCAGGACAACAGCTGGGTGTATGTGGGAGTTGGGTGGGGTCTGTGAACACCCATGGGGCATCTGTCAAGGTCACCTCTCCCCTGGGGTGTTCTCGAGCATGACTACGTCTCACTTTGGAGGTCCTCGGAGCCCCACAGAAGAGGTGGCCACCCGCAGTGAGCTGAGCAAGGGGAACCCTGCTGCTATGGCAACAGCAGCTGCATCCAGCTGCATCAAGTAAAGTTGGCCAAGTGAAAGTCGTGAGGCCTGGTCCCCGCCCCTGGGCTTCCCCCACCCTGCACTGCTGGTGTCTGTTCCTGACATCCTCCTCTGCCCGCTCACCCAGACTGGAAACCTGGGAATCATCCTGGACTCTTCCGCACCCGTCACTGGTGAGTCAGTGGTTCTGGCCTCACGGTCCCCTCTCTCCTCTGTTACATCAGGCCTCCTTTTGTTTTGTTTTGTTTTGTTTTGTTTTAACTGATGAGATTCACTTAATGTAAAATTAACCATTTTATGGTGGAACTATTTGGAAAAGGATAGCAAGAATGGTTGTATAACTTGAAGAACATAATCAATGTTACTGAATTGGACATGTGGAAAATTGTTGAGCTGGTATATGTTTTGTTGTGTATATTTTCACAACTTAAAGAAAAAAATAACCATCTTAAATTCAGTGGCATTTAGTACATTCATAATATTGTGTCACCACCACCCCTATTTAGTTCCAGGACATTCTCATCACCCCAAACAGAAATGCCATACCCATTAGCAGTTACTCCCCATCTCCCCTCCTCCCAAGCCCTAGGCAACCACTAATATACTTTCTGTCTCTGAATTTGCCTGTTTTGGACATTTCATATAAATGGAATCATACACTATGTGGCCTTTTGCGTCTGGCTTCTTTCACTAAGCATCATGTTTTCAAGGTTCATCCACATAGTAGCATGTATCAGGACTTAATTCCTTTTTAGGGTTGAGTAATATTCAGGCTCCGTTATTTCATGACAGGAGTTTTACAGCAGCCTTCTAAGTTATCCCTCCATCTTCAGGCCCATGCTTCTACCCATCCATTCATTATGTCAGGGGTTCTCAGCTTCACACTGCTGATACTTAGTTCCAGATCATTCTCTGTGGTGAGAGCGGTCCTGTCCACTGTAGGATGTTAGCAGCATCCCTGGCTTCCACCCACTCGATGCCAGTAGCACTCCTCTCACCCAGCTGTGACAATCAAAAATGTCTCCAGATATTGTTAAATGCCATCAAGTCGGTTCAGATTCATAGCGACCCCATGTACAACAGAACAAAACACTGAGAGGATGGCCCAGGACCAGGCAGTGTTTTGTAAAAGCTCCTAGCAGGGCAAAATCTGGGTTAGTACCTCCGGGTTATTCATCCAACAAATATATACTGAGTACCTCCTGCCGGCCAGACTCTGGAGCACAACGAGGAGGAACAGCAGTTGCGGCTGCACAATCACTCATCTGACATGTTACTGAACACTTACTTTGTGCCGGGACACCCTGGGTGGTGCAAATGGTGAATGCGCTCGCCTGCTGGCCGAGAAGCTGGAGGTTTGATTCCACCCAAGGCACCTCATAAGAAAGGCCATTGAAAACCCCGTGGAGCACAGTTCTACCCTGACACACGAGGTCGCCAAGAGTCAGGGTTGACATGGCAACTGGTTTTTATCTTGCTTTAGTCTCGTTTTTCAGACAAGAAACCAAGGCTTGAACAGGTCACCCTGGCAAGTGTCAGAGCTGGAATGGAACAGAGCAAGGGTTCTGGGTCTGAGCCAGGGCACTAGAATCAAACCAAACAGGCTCCCACCACACCTATTGACCTGTGGGGGGGAGTCACTGCACCTCTGTGCACCTCAGGTACCTCACCTGTGACTTAAAGTTGCTAGTTCAAATCTCACAAGATTAGGACAAGGGTGGGTGGAGGAAACCTGAGCGATTTCAGTAAACGGGAGTCAGTAAGATCACCGGGCGGGGGAGTCCCTGGGTGGTGCAAACGGTTAAGCATTTGGCTGCTAACCAACCGGATGGAGGCTCAAGTCCACCCCCAAGGTGCCTTAGAAGAAAGCCCTGGTGATATGTTTCCAGAAAATGACCCACTGAAAACCCTAGGAGGCCTAGTTCTACTCCGACACCAGTGGGGTAGGAGTTCTACTCTGACACACATGGCGTCACTGGGAGTCTGAGTTGAATCCACTGCAACTGATTTTTTTTTTTTAATAATGTAAGCTCCACTGGTTAAGAACTTGGCTGCTAACCAAAAGGTCAGCAGTTCAAATCCACTAACCGCTCCCTGGAAACCCTATGGGGCAGTTCTACCCTGTCATATAGGGTCATTACGGGTCAGAATCAATCCGACAGCAACGGGTTTGGTTTTTTTTGGCTTTAGGCTCCAGGAGGGCAGGAATTTTCTATTTTAATACTCTGTTGTACCCCCAGCATCTGGCACACCTCAGATGCTCAATAAGCACTGGCAGAATGAACAAGCAAGACAAACGCAGCCCCAGAATCGTGCCTGGAACCTGACAAGCGTTCAACATCTGTTGTCTGTCTTGTTCGCAAATGACTTCCCCTCCCTGAGCCTGGATCATCTCATCTGTAAATGGACAGAATACAATAACAGGGTTGGGAAAATCAAAGTAGATGTGTAACCCACCAATTGTCCATAAAATAATTTTACTAATAACAACACAGTCGCATTTGATGGTCAGACGCTCTTCTAAACTCAAGTCTGGCACGAGCCCTGCGAAATTGAGTGGCGTTATCAGCCCCCTTTCGGAGCTGAGGAAAGCGAGGCACAGAGGAGGCCTTTGGTCCAACGTCGCCCAGAAGGAGCATGAGGTCCCGGAATTCGAACTCGCGGCTCGAGTATTCGAATTCATGAACCCAGGATACGAACTCATGGCCCGGGATTCCAATTAGAAGTCTCGGGAATCGAACTCGCCGTCCCCCGAGCATGCGCAGAAGCCGCGCGCCGGCCGGGGCCTTGCGCATACCAGACGGTCCCTGACCAGGCCGCAGCTGCCTCGACCCGAGGACCCCCGCCATCCGACTCTACAGCCCCCCGCCCCCAGCCCTTGGTCGCGGCCGTCCCGCCGGACGCCCAAACCCAACCACGCAAGGCCCCAACTTACCCGCCACCGCGCCCTGAGGAATCCGCCATTTTCCCGCCTTCAGCTCGAAGGCCGGCTCCTCGAAGCCGGATACGCCCCCACGCCCGATTCCGGAGCCTGAGGAGGGGAGGCCGCGTACCGCCAACCCCGGGAAGCCCAGGCTGCAGAGCAGGTTGCGTCCTCTGGACGTGCACCTCCCCCGCCATCCTTCACACTTGGTCTCGCCCACAAGCGGGCGGAGGCAGAGGCGGAAGGCGGGGCTAGGGGGGGCGAGGTTCGTTTCGCCCCGCCCCCGAGGGTCGCTGGCGTCACGCCCCCGGCTCTGCCCCTCCGGAACCCGGAAGCGGCGCGTGCGACGGGGCGGGGGGAGTGGGGGGAGAGGTGGGCGCGGCGGGG